TCCAAAATAAAGATTCCAGACATTTACACATCAGCTTACATTTACGAAATGTACTAAGATACATGAAAATGTGACAATTAAGTTTCAGTGTCAGCTGTATTCTTAACAGGGTACATAGACAGAAATTAAAGCAATTCTGGCACTTTCTCCTCTCTTGGTTTTGTGTTGACGACTGCTTTAGTTTGTCATTGTTGTTCCACTTGTTGTATATATAACAATCAAGTTTTACCGTAAGTAGTTAGTGTAAGTTATCCTTTCTGATTGTTTGAACTAATTTATGAAACATAATATGGTACCTAAAAATGATCTCATGTCTTCCTTTCCACATGTAGTCAAGCACACATACTTCCCATAATCAGGACAAAAGTTCTGTTGAAAAAAAGACAAAAAAATAGCTGCATTCCACATCAAAATGCAGGAAATACCATTTCAGAGTCTAAATTTCAACATCTGCCAGTGGAGGATACCCCCAGACACCCATACGATGCTACACAGCGCAACGCCTAAAGATGTGATACACCAAGGTGTGCATCTTATGAAATATTCCTAGCTGAAAGCCACTGTCTGTATGTCTCTGCTAGCCTATAGACTGCTAGCCTTGGCAAATATCTGTTCATTGCAAATTGGGATATTGTAGCTCCTACTTCCTGTTTTCAGCTCCTATCCCTTCACCTTTTAAGGGATCAACAGTAAGAACCCTATTGTTGGTAGAAAAAGACCTCAAGACTGCTGCATCGAATCCATCCTTAATGACACCATAACGGGATGGAGAGGCAGATGTGTGATGTGAGTCCAAACTGGGACTAAAGCCCCATGGGAAAAAAAAAAAAAGTTACAAAAAGTGAATGACTGAAGCCCTCAATTATAAAACCCAAAACATATGAAGATGTGAAAATTTGCATTTTTATTTTTATTTTGTATGCTTAACAATCCTATTAATCGTTCCAACTAAACTGGAAGATAAATACCATATAGGTCTGTGGTGTGAAAAACTTAGAACACATATTTTATTGCTGCTTAAGCAGTATTCATGGATACATTTAGATAAAAATAATTACAAAAACCTGAGCAAAAGTTGTATTTCTGTCACGTCCCCTGTTCGACTTTTTATCTGCTGAGACCAGTCTTCAAAGATAAGGGTGTGAGAAATCTGTAGCTTCTAAGATCTGTTCCTACAGTGAAGAATATTATTAAAAAAAACAAAAAAAACAACTGTTTTTTACCTCATGGTACCTTCATGGTTGCCAGGCAACATCCAGCAATGCTAAGCTGAGGGCTGGAAACCAGGCAAAAGGCACTGCTAACTTCTTTTTTGTGGCTCCACCCCTTGAAGGATGCAGCCCCTTAAAAATGTGGCCACTGACCTAATTTTTAGATAATAATAATAAAAAAATAAATCTTTATTATGTTTTTTGATTAAATGCAGTTATAGCAGTTGTAACATTTTATATTTGTGTTGAGATAGATAATTATTTAAATGCAACAATCTCAGATATGATTTTATTTAGTTCATTATTTTTTGGATATAATTACAATAGTTTTTTTTTTTATTTTTACATTGGTAGTCCATGATGAATTCTAATCTATTTCAGTTGACAATTATGGCATGTAATCCCGATCCATTTTTATAAGTAACTTTATTTATATTGCTCCATATATACATCACATTGTTTTTGAGTCAAAAGATGTGAACATTGACAGAAATGTCAAAATGACTTCTTTTGAGCAAAGACATGATGGTTTCCAGTAAACTGCTTGTAACAGATATGTATTGGAGTCACATCACCATGTACATGAGGGATAACCAGGTTACAGAAAATCACTTTAAGTAATAGATTCAAATTGTAAAAGCAAAAGAAAAAATAATCAATTACAAAACAGTAGACAGTTGACTGACCTGCCAACCTAAGGTTTGGTGGAAAACATTGACTAGTTGCAAAAACCATTCCCCCTTTTTTCAAATTCTCACTAAAGATCAAACATTTGGACGGGTTCCAAACATCCACCCAAACCCCTAAATCCCTCCATCACTATATCGAGTGGGGACTATATAGTGGACTTTATAGTGAACTCAGTTAACTGACCGTTCGGGCAGGTGATCACTACTTTTCACTCCCCGTTGGTCACATGACTCCGCCTCCACGCACGGTGCCTGCGCCATCTTTGTTATTTGTCGCCCTCGTTGGGTAATGACAGCGGGCTAATGTGACAAATCCCATAATCCTTTGTGAGGAGAGCTCTCACAAAGCATTCTGGGATATATCTTTTCGTGTAGTGACCATGGATGATCACTACTTTTCAAGCTGCACTGTGGGAAATTTTGAGTCCCCTACTTTTCCTCCACTAGATCAGGCATCCCCAAAGTCGGTCCACAAGGGGCGCTGTCCTGCAGGTTTTAGAGGTTTCTCTGCTTTAGCACAGCTGATTCTGATGATTGCAGTTCAGCAAAAGCCTGTTAATCAGCTAACAATGTAAATCAGCTGTGCTGGAGTAGGGAAACCTTTAAAACCTGCAGGACAGCGGCCCTCGAGGACCGACTTTGGGGAGGCCTGCACTAGTTGTTTGAACATTCAAATAAAATGGCTTAACCCCTATATAGTGATTAGGGTGGACATTCAGACACAGCCTCGGTCTCTGTCAACCACTTCACTTGAGGAAAGTAACAACACATTTCTTTCCATGTAATGATATTTACATTAATTTGCCTCCTATAGGTCAACTGTAAAAATGTTTTCTAGTTTCACACACGTCATTGAGAAGTTGACCAGCCAGAAGTTAATTTATCAAACAATTAAATACATTAGTTAACTGCTCTCCTTTACAACTAATATAAGAACCTTTCAGGAGAGACAGTAAATGTGGGTCTTTCAGGAAAAAAAAGAAGAAAACTAGACTCATCGCTTTCGTATTCAGAGCACTGTTTGTGCTTTTATAAAAAAATTATTCTTTTGGTATTTTAGGGGCTACTTCAAAACAGAGACCCCCCCTTAGGCAAAGACCTTTACCCATATCTCAGAGCTATGACTTGTTCTGTTGGAGTTTGCCTGGATCTGTGTGTATGTGGTGTGCTCTTTCTGACTGCTGGGATTCATACAAGATGTTGTGAGTCAGAGAAAACCTTACCTCCCTCAGCACCTGCCTCATCTTCCAATAGCACCCCAGGCCTTTTAAAAACATTGCGATATGAGAGCATAAGGATGGAAAGCAGAACACTGACAGGGAGCAAGGTTACACACAACTAGAATGATGGGACTGATTGTAAAATACGGGAACAATGGTGACCCGACCTCGCTTATGAAATCTGAATCCCTGTTTTGCATTTCTATTGTTGTACAAGTTAAATCGGTTGTCTGGCACAATTTTGATCAAACCTTTTTGCTTCTAAATCAAAATGCCCAGAGGGTGTTCCTTGGCTCATTGAATAATAGATCTGCCATTTAGAAATATGCAGTTGCCATCAGGTAAGAGTATAAATCTGCTGACTGGAAAAGCAGGTAATCCAGCGTTTAGTTAAAATCTTACTTTATTTTTGAATCCGTTGAGTTATTAAACTTTAACCTGAGTAAATGCATCAATCTAGGGAAACAACACCTACACATACCTTGTTTTTTTGGCACTCAGAGTGGCGTGCATGTTCCGTCTTAATGAGCTGCTTTTCCTACCCAGATGCTTCCATCACACTGGAACAAGATAACACTATGTCCATCAAAAGGTGTGACTTTTTTAAGGCTACACATTGTTTTATTCTCATCTACATTATCCAACCCTCCCTTATATGTTTTCTACTAAGAAGTACCCTCAACCTTTAGCACCAACTTCCTATTTAACGTAAAGAAACAGATTTTCAACTGAAAATGGGAGAAAATATTCTTTACATCAAAGTTAAACATTAGTTTAGATGTCAAGACACATTTATAACCAATTAATACCTTAGCAAAACACGACTCTGACCTTGTTGGATAAGATGTTAACAAGTAAAGAGGTAAACTGTATTGAATAGTTGGTTAGAAACTCTAAATCCTCAGTTTCTTTAGTCTAGCTTGGCAAATCAAAGCTCTGGTTTCCTCCTAAAATGTTTTCCATTTAAAGTTTCCTATTTGCAAGGTTTTTTTTTTTTAACATTCATGTTACCAAGCCAGCGCTGCCTTTCACTGTTATCTGGTTTTAAATTTTATGAGATTACTTTTGTTTTCCAGATTAGTCTTTTTATTCAGCAGCTAAGATATGTTTTTATTATTTTTGCCAGGGAAAGATATTAGAATGGTATTCTTCAACACACTGACCAGCAGTGTGCAGCAACACGGTGGGGAGGGGAAGCTCTGTATGTCACCTTCAATCTGTATGGCACACTTCCTGACATCTCACTGACCACAAATCTTAGAGCTTTTGATATCATAAATGTCGGTATGGCTTAATACCATTCAATGGCTAATGCTTAGTTACTAAGGGCGTTTCTTGCGACTGTGGCCCCAACTGACTTCAGGTCAGTGAGCAGATCCTCCTGTGTAGTTGTCGATCCTTTTGCTTTTCTAATGATCATACCTCACAACAATTAAGCAAGACTTCAGATGGTGCTCTTAACTGGGGGTGATTGATAGTCTTTTTGTGTTTTCTCCATTTTGAAATGATTCCCAACCTCTCCTGTCACTTTCATAAAAAGACTGTAGCTGAGCCCCTTCCAAATTTATGCAGATGTACTGTCTTCACCCTGAGGACCTCTGACAGCTCTTTGGTCGGCAGACAGCTGTGCTTTTTGTAAAAATGTAATTGATCTGTTTGCCACATTGGGATATAAACTGACGACATGCAAATTATTTCTTAGCTTTTTTTTGTAATACATTTTATCAGGACTTTTACCTCTGCATCAAAATAAAATTCATAAAAAAAGCAAATGCAGTGATTAAAAAAAGGGTCAAATTAGTGTTTGATTTTATTATTTTCTGAGATCTCCTGTTTACTTCTTAGAATGAGCTCACAATACGGATATGGTTTTGTTCTAGAGAGGAACTTGAGAACTTTGTGACCAGCGGCACCCTGAACCACCTGAAAGTGTGTTTCTCCAGAGAAGACAGGAAGGATGAGGAGGAGCCCAGATACGTCCAACATAATCTGTTGCTCTGCTGCCAACGAGTCACCGACATCCTGCTCAGACAGAACGGCTACATCTATGTCTGCGGGTAAGGCTGACACTAATCTTATTTAAATCCTAATCCATCCTGAGTGTTTCTTGTCCTTTTCTACTCAATTTATCACTTTCCCCAGCATCCATCTGCCAGGGCTGTCTCATGATCTGGTTGTTTCCCTATTCAGCGTGTCATTGCTCATTGTCTGCTCACAGCGATAGAAGAGCATCTCTGTTTGTGCTTTTTCCTGCCCATAAACTCTTTACTTGTGTGAATAGTTTTTGACAAACCCCCTTGTTCTATAAAAGCTGGCACTTATTTATACATCAGTACAGATTCATTATGTTTATGAAGTTAACTGAGCTACAACGCTTATCAAGATGATTTTAGAAGAAGAATAAACTGACCATGTGCTGTCAACATAGCAGCCGAGGAAATCAATTTACATGCAGCTTTCCACCATCGGTTTCTTCAATCAGTGGGAAAAGTTTTAATCTCTTCATGACAAACTGTATATTTTGAAATGGTGCAAATAAAGGCAGTATAAATAATTCATGTGTTAACATCATACTGCAGTTATTCATTGAACAATTCCAGAAAATGCCCAGACTCACATATGATTCTTAATTATTATAAAGTAATCTGGGGTCAATCTGTTGAAAACTGTTTGTTTACCCTGAGCTGGACAGCCATCTGTTCAGGAGGACAGTCCAAAAAAAACAAAAATAAAAACACCATGTGTTATATTTCCATGTTTTAAAATAACAACAGTGGGAATATCAGTATTTAAACTGATAGAAGTAAAATAGCCGTAGCTCTCTGAATTGAGTCTGTGCCAGTAGAGGGGTGAATTTCAACTAAGTGACAATTGGACAGAGATGTATTTGAGAAGTTTTTTGTTTTTATTCCTTTGCTCATTCTGAGCTTCAATTTAAAATGAAAATAAAGCTAAAATAATTTGTCTGTATGTTTGGATTTTGCCAAACTAGAGTTTCTGCTTGTAAACTTTTGTATTTTACTTCAGCCTGCAGTTAATAGGATTAATTAAGCCACAATCACGTTCCAACAACTTCACACCTAAGATGTATATAGCTTTACTACTTGCCTCTCATAATACATTGTTTTATAAACCACTACCAGATGTGGTCTTAAATATATAT